CCACATGAGATTTCATAAACAAAATCAGACATCCCTTCCTACCCCATTTCACTCAATCAACCCTTAATCAGGAAATATCACATTCGCGCTTTTCATATCGTACCTGCGACACACGCCGTGGCCTTTTTGTGCATTTATGTAAACGTACAACTGAGCTCAACACAAGGCGATTGCGACATCACCAACTCCAGAACTATCTTCCAATGGACTATTCCTTCCTTACCGTAAAACATGACATCACCAGTTTCGAAATTAATTTGGTTAAAACTGATAAAACGAAACGCAGCAATGGGAAACTGCTGCATCGAAACTTCTCGGCCCTATTCATGTAAAGTTAAGAGGCCATTATGTTGCATGTAGCAATTCTATATATTCCAACCACCACAGTATATATAAATATATATTTAAAAAAACAATATAGCCATGTTTCCAAAAAGATAAACCGTTTGAGATGCTTAAAATCTGGAGTTTATGAGACTTAAAATGGTCTCCAACAAATGTTCTTGTAGTGGCTTCAGCTGTGATGATCGTCATATTTCAAAATGTTCTAAAGGATGAGGATACTGTAGTTCAGGTTGGTTTCAGTGGACTCATATGGGTCCCCCTGTTACAATTAGGTAACGCAGGCTCTACTGTCTCCCATGTCAGCAGCCGACCGAGAGTCGTCATGTTTACCTGTTATGTACAATCCAAAATCTGCTGGGGAGGTGCCGTGACGACTCTTGCTGTTAAAACACTGTAATAGTGGAAAATCTGCAAAGCAGCCCCATCTCCTTTCCCAGCCAGCGATGACGCACCTCGCTCAAAGCCCTCTCCCAAAAACATGAAACCCCATTCAACATCCATAACGCGTTTAGCTGCAAACGTCGACACGGGGAGCACTGTACACGCAGATAGATCACAGCCCAGGCTGAGAAAATGTGGATTGGCTCGCCCATGGGCAAGGCATGATGGATAGATTCATCAATGATCTCGCATCTCTGCACAGTCATATCGCCTTTCTAAACGATTGCACAGCTTTTTTCCTCCTCCATTGGTTAAATTTGGAAAAATCGCGAGCTACTGTAGTCTCTGAGGCAGAGAGGGTTGCAATTAGCACGGATTCCCTAATCATTCAAAACTACATACGTTTCACTGAGAGGAATGGTCCACCGCGGTCTGAGCAAGCAGTCCTTTAAGAAATTGCGCAGTTTTAATTCCATTGAAACAGAGACTCTTTCCTTCTGTCCCCCGTTGAAAGGCTCTTTCTCTTCCTCCTCCTCCCTCCTCTCCGTTTCTCTTTCCTTCTCTCTCTTCCCTCATGCAGGTTTATTTTCGGTGGAAGTCTTGGACATTAGCTGCCCCGCCTCCATAGTCACTGGCAAACACACTGTTCAACTTGCCCAAATTCCATTATTAACTACTATACAATAGAGAACAACTGGATCCCAGGTTTTCCCCTTAAAACTATTTGGTTAAAGAGTCGAGCCCGCAGTTGGAAGCAGTCACTGTTCAAAAGGGGCCAAGAGCCACTTGAGGAATCCTAAGTTATTTGAAGATGTCTGGTAATCTTGTCAGGTTCCTGTCATTTCCCATGAAACTTAAAACTAGGCCAAGACCATGTTGAGCATGTTGGGAAATCAAATTAAAGCATAAGACAAACACATCAAGGACAGCAGCTCCAAAACAGACTCTGCTGGCTCCCAGGGGTGGCAGAGGAGTAGTGCCTGCAGAATGATATAGGAGACAGTATAATGTAATTAGACGTCTCTCCTGGCTTGTCCTCTAAAGATAACATTTTATAAAGGGGCACTACAATCTGCAGAAAACTTAGTTTCCCTAAGTCATGTACATGATAAACCTTCCCTCATCATTAAGAACATTTTTTTCAAAAGAGGAATTTTAAAAGAAGATGTTTCTAAATGAATAGGCAGATGTGAAGATACTGGCTTCCCGTGCCCTCAAGAAATGAGTATTTCTGTGGAGTGTGAGCATTTGAGAACCGTGGCTCTAAAATAGGGTGTACACTGTCTGAACACAGAAACACCACTTCTATCAAAATGATAAACATACAAATTCATATTATTATTTTATCTGATATCTTTTTCCAACCATAGCAGCCTGACTACTGTTTTTCTGTCAGGAATACTTCAGAGTACACAAATCTTAATAGTGCGTAATAAATATTAAATGTTTCCATGCTATATTTACATTCTAGTTCATTTCAGGTGAAGCTTTAAACAATATATAAAAAGAAAACCATCTCCCAAGTCTGATCATTTTGTTACAACCAGGCCTGAGAATAAGCCAATTTGAATTTGAATTCAGCATGTTGCTATGAGTGCCCCCTCTACACCCCCCCCCCCCCCAACCCAAGACACCACAGGTAAAACTCCCCCTCCCCCCCCCCCCCCACCAACCAGAGGCCACCAGTGTATATATATACACACACACACACACACACACACACACACTCACAGACCTGGGTCTGATCAAGAGGCTCTTAAAGCCTGAGGAAGTCTGTGTTCGGTCTTTCAAGGGGACAATCCTGAAGTCTGAATACAACCTTGAACTCAGCCCCCTCCCCCCCACCCCTCTCTCATTACTGGACCTTTCTTCCTCCCGGCTCACTTTCTCCAGGGTCTTTCTCTTGTTTTTCTCTCCCTCCCGTGCATGAGTTTGGGCTGAGTCCTTTGCAGCAGGGAAGTCCAGGCCTTTTCTCTCTCTCTCTAACAACACTGACCGACTCCAAGCGTCTTGTCTGTGAAGATTCATTAGAATTCATTTGTTTGAAAAGGTTCATTTCTCTTTCACTCACTCCCACCCTGTGCCCTCTTTCTTCAGCCTGGGAGAAATGCATATTAGCATAAAAATGTCCCTTACCTCACCTTGATTAACTCCATTATTTGCATGTGTGCAGGCATGCATGTGTTCTTACTGTGAAAGTATGCATGTATCTGAAGGTGCAAAACAAGGTATAAACCTGAATTTCTGAAAATTTAAAATCATTCTTTGCTTTCAAAGAAGTAACAGCTCCACCAGCAACAGATTTTCTTCAAATAAACATTTGCTTGTAGTTTCAGGGCCATCTGGTCAGTAAGTGCACAAAGACAGAAAGTGATATGTTAATGGATTTATAAAATATTTAAAAATTCAGTGTATTCCAAAATTAAAATGTTCATTTCCAATAATGTTTTAGCACAAATTTTGCAAAAAATTTTAAAAGCCTGGGATGGTATTCACACAACGGCTTTGTTAATTCTGTTGTGTTAACACAAAATAGATGACAATGCCTAACAGCCCCTCAGATTAAAGAAGTCAGTGTGCACAACAGACACTTGTATGACCTGACCAGACAGTCAGCTGCTCCAGATGTTACAAAGAAGCGAGTTTCCAGTAAAACACAACACTTCATGGTAGGAGACTTCGCTGTGTATATGTCTGTGTGTGTCCATGAGCAAGATAAAAAGGGGTCAGCATGGAAAGACTGATGTAGGTCTGTGGAGAGGAGTGAAGAATCAGTCAGCTAACAGCAGAGAAGGGAGACACAAAGGAAAGAGAAAGGGAAGAAACCTTACCAAAACTGTGCCAGACCAACTGCAAAGTATCTCATCATGACTCAGCTCATTTAATGTTAATCCCCAGATAAAACCTGCTTTACAGAATGTAATACTCCTTAGAAGTAACACAGCATTGAAATATAACATTTCATTTGCTGTATATTAAAACTTGAAGGTCACAAATAAGAGCAGTGTCACATATAAAGTAACCGCTAAAACAAGAGATAAAAAATGTAGGTAGGAACAAAGTGTTAGAGTCAGTGTGTGAATGTCTCTGTTAACGCCCTCAGTTGTCCAGGCTCATGAGAAGAGCAGTCCCTCTCTTGATCCAGTGGTCTGCAGTCACAGCTCCTGTTTTGAGTTCTACAGCAATCACAAAAGATGCTCGGCCTGCCCCACCTGAACGCACAGGGAAGTAGTAACATGGACACAGGTACATACCTATGTATACACAGACATGGGAGACAGAGTCAAAACAGTGAAACCACAGGACATGACATGATAAACTACATATACACAAACAGAGGAAACAAGGAACAAAAGGTAAATCATTAAAAAAGCAAAACACAAGAAAATGCAAACACAAAAAACTAGGATTGCCACTTTGCAGTTGTATGCCTCCACCAACCAGTCAAATTCATGGGTATGGGACAGAACTGAGGTCACTGACCTCTGACCACCAAAATCTAATCAGTTCATCCTTGAGTCTAAGTGGACACTTCTGCCAAATTTGATGAAATTCCCTTATGTTGCTCCTGAGATATAGTGTTCATAAGAATCAGATGCCCCTGGCCGCAGCTATCATTGGTGCAGAGGCATAAAAAAGGAGAGGAAGATGGAGTAAGGCAATTCCTAATAAATATTCCCAAACAACTCACTCTTGGCCATCTTTTTGCGGTGTTCCACAGGTCTAAAGTGGATGGTGGGAATAGGACAGACCATCTGCATAGGTTTAGCTTCCACCAGACAGGAGTTCTTCTGGTCCCAACCAGCCCCCTCCAGGTACAAACCTCGGACATACACTCCATCCTAGAGAAAAGAGAGCGGAAAAACAGACGCAAGTAAGAAAAGTGACAGTGAGGGAAGGGTGAGGCAAGAGATATCGTTTGGAGGTGACATTTTGGATACAGCTTCGAAAAAGGTTTGACAAACAACCTTGCCAGTTAGGTAATGCAGCTCATCGAGGAAAGAAGAGGGAGGTGAAGACAAGAGAATGGGCAGGGCTGCAGGAAAAAAGAAGGGAAGAGAGGGGAGAGACAAAGAGGAAGATAGAAAAGAGAGTTAAAGGAAGGAGAGGGGAGGAGAAAACCAGGAGTGGCACAAAAAGGGAAGAAGGATGAGAAGCACTAGGCCATGATGGAGAGAGCAAGAAAAGAGAAGGGGTACAGCCTGTCAAGGAAGGGCTGGAAGTGTGCTTTGGGTAGGCGTCCGTAAATTGGAAAAAAAAAAAAAAAGTTGGTGTAAGCACAGGGAGGCACAGAGGAACTGATACAGAGAAAATTAAAATATGATGAAGTGAGCGAGAAATAGAGACACAATAGCAGAAGTGGAGTCGAAGCAACAACGTAAATGAAAACATTTTAACTCACTGTCAAAATTTGAACTGTAAACAAAAAATTAAGATGCAAAGGAGAATCTGTGGAATAGGGAGAGAGAGGCTGCTCTGAATGGAAATGAGTAGAAATGAAAAATGTGATGGAAAGTGGCAATGACAGCTGAAAGCTAATGGCTCAGAAAAAGTGGTCTGTCGGCAGGTTTATGGAAATCTTTATGGAAATACAAATGTGTGTACAGGGGAGTCACCTTAGGCGGGTCAAGGAGATTGCTGTCATCAACAGTGGACACTATAAATTCCCAGGACAGCGTGTCCACCGATATCTGCAAGAACAGTTTCACACAAAGTTAACTGTTGGATGGACAAGATATTGTTACTGTCACAGGCCCAAAACAAGGACATTTCCCTTCACTTCAGATGAGTCATATTAGAATAGCTTTCCTTTTCAAATAAACAGTACGGCTCACAGGTATGACTGCATATTTTTCTCAAAGTTTCTTAACAACATTACACATGGCGGCTGTGAAATGCTGAACAAGAGAGAACAAGTGTTCTGTAGGTCGTGTTTGCCAAAGCAACAATGGGGGCGACTTCACTGTACGTCTGAAAACAACTGTCGGCATCAATATGCGTTTCCCAGGGTGTTATTTTTATACAGTATGTACTGTGAAAATTTGTCTTTCAGCTGTGAAATCACATAGTCACCTGGGTTGCCTTATGAATCCCTTTCAAATACATAATGGGTAAATTAAAAAATACATGGCCATCAACCACAAGGAAGACATGACAAACAATGTATCCTAGTATAGTGTTTCATTACATGTAGTAACCGTCCTTCTGTCTATGTGCATGTGGATGAGTGACCTCTCACATTGTGTTGTCGAGCACAGGACTGCAGCACAGCAGTGAGGAAGCCATTGGGAAAGGTAAAGCCAGAGAGCCAGAACAAAACGGGGGGCCGGGCCGTCTCCGCCCAGCGTGCAAACTGATCGACTCGCTGGCAAAGATCCCTGGTCCATGCTGCCAGGGGCTTCTGTGAGGGGTACGCCTAGTGGACAGAGAGCGTGACACAGAGGGTGAGGGAGCAACAGTGGGCCAGACATGACAGATCTACAGTAATTTCATGCTTCCAGCTGTTGACGACTTATAATGGGAAAAGGTTCAGTATGGCGCTGTAGCACTGAGAAGTGGCGGCCTGTAAGTCTTACCAACACACATTTCCCAAGTACAGTGTGAACATAGTTGTGTTAAAAATTAATATGACAGTTTTTGTTTCCTTCAGCTGTTTAATGATCCAACAAATGTTGGAGAAAACTGCCTAAGATTCACACAAATCTACAAATAATTGACCATAGTGCAATGATGATTCTGAGGGAGCATGTGCATCAATTAGGGGTATAAATGTTATCCTGTTTTATTTTCAAAGCAAAGAAATACTGACAAAAGCACATTTTCTGTCTGTATGCTAACTGCTTCGCAAATGTCACTGTCAAAAACAACACCAACACTGATAGCGCTGGGCAGACGTCGTGGCACACAGTTCATAAACCTAAACAGCACGGGACTAATTTATGCATTGCCTTAGTGTAAGGCTACTTATGTCACTACTTATTCATCTTTGCACTGGCACCTGCCCCTCTTAAAACCGACAGTAAGATTTTATTGTTAACTTTCTTCAAGCCTTTGCAAACACGTTTAGCTTTATGCCTGAACTCTTAACCCCCTGTGCTTGCCTGTGCAGATCTGGACAGTTTTGTTTTAAATTACATTTCACAACTTACTTTTGTTGGACAGTTGTCTTAACCTATTTTGTGTCACTGAAATATTTTTTTAATCAGTATTGTATTTATGGTGCACTATCTGTTTGTTTCCATGATCTGCCTATCCCTCATATGCAGACACATTCTAAATGGGTGCACAGCCTGAGAGTTACTAACATATTACAGTGCATTTTATTAACATGCAATTTAATTTTTCACTTATTGTGCCTGAATAATATACACAACACACATTTTCCACTTCATGACATGTCCACATAAAGGTTCACACACAAATACACACAGTGGACTAAGGGGATGAAAGCCTTTTGTTACTGTTGCCCAAGAAGGAATGTACAGTATATAGAGATGCCATATCTCTGCACAGGGTGACGTGCACACACACGACATAACTGATGCACATCTCCTCCAAATATTTTACATACACATGTACCATACAGCCCCTTAACAGTACAACAAGGCCTTGTGAAGAAACCAGACACAAAATGGTGGGAGACAGAGAGGCAGGCAGGCCAAAATTAAAGCCATGAGTCTCTGAGCTCAGAACTAATGACAGGCTGCCATGCCAAGGAGGGTGAAGAAGAGAGGGATGCAGGGATGGAGGGATAAATAAGGTGGGCAGAGAGTCTATGAGGGGCTGCTGTTGCTGCTTGGAGCAGATGATGAGGCATAAAGAGATTTAGAGAAAGAGGAGAGCAGAGTGGAGAGAACACTAGAGGGGAGGTACACAGGCAGCGAGATGGAGACAGTGTGAGACAAAATAGACAAGTGAGAAAACCAAAGTACACAAAATCAGACTAAGTATTTTGAATGAGAAAAGACTTAGGGATGAGTGAGAGCCAGAAAAAGACATCTAAAAAAGGTAAAGACAGAGAGTTATCTAGTTTATAAGTGGTCAGTGGTCAATAAAGAAGCTCAGCTGGAAGCAGCAGCCCTAATTGCTGTGCAATACTCCTATAAAAAGAAAAGGATACACACACATGCACATGCAGTACATTCAGCAGTAATGAGCCTCTGGCTAGAGCACAATGAGCTCAGGGTCTTGTTAGGAAAGTGGGGCAGGCCTTGGAAGGTTTACTTTACTTATTACACTAGGATTAGTCCACAGATGCCAGCTTTGTTCAATCACCAAGGGCCAAGGTATACTCCACCAGATGAACAGCCACTCACAAATACACTCAAGTGCAAACACAGACATGTACACACACAGCTGCATACATGTTTTCATGCACACCCAGAATGAAGACAGAATTAAGCACTTGAAGATAAACACGAAAGGCCCTTAATGACCCCTGCTCACTAGACACACACACACTTGTAGCCAGAATCCTTTCTATCCCCTTGACCCAGGCTGACAGCACCCTGTGTTCTTATCCAACTGTAAAGAGAGGTCCAGTGTTAATGAGAACAAAATGAAGTGTTTGGACAGAATTGCACCTGGAACACTGCCAGAGCCTCATCACTGTGTGTGAGTGTGGGCATGTGGTTGTCCAGAGGAGGACAATAAGCATGTATCTGTGCAGCTATTGAGAGTGATTGATAAATATACCTTTAATAACAGACCAGTAAACAGGTACAGTGTCAAGCCTGCAGCTCATTGACAGGCTGAAGGGAGAGGAATACATTAATGCTGATCATATCAAATCATAAAGATGAATGCAAAAGCGTCCGGAGTGGAGATATGAACATCTGTTAAATAACAGCATAGAAATCCTCCGTCTTGTTGTAGAGAGAAAGGCCTGGCTAAAAATAAAGTCAGAATAAATAGTGGAAAAATAAACCTAGATGTCAGTCTGTACTGAAACATTATCTGTGACCCTGAGGAAGAAACGCTTGGTCAGTACTTGATTATACAGTACATTACAGTCAAACCAACAAAGGCTCCATTTGTTTTACTGTTTACCTTGGATGTTGCTATGCTTTGCTACCTTTTTCAAAGCATTCCTTTTATTCCTGACTCTGCATAGTCTCTTTCTGTCCTGTGTATTTAAGTGCACTTGATTCTCCAAAGATCAGTCATCTGTATTATTCATCCTAGCAGCAGGCCTTCTTTCTATTGTGTCTGCCCACTTTATGAAGGTAACAGGTACAGTCTTATTTATCGCTTCAGTAGGTCCCACCTGCAATACTCATATGGTGTGCGTATGTGTTTGTATCTATACATTATAAGAAATGAGTATGTCTCAAGCAGAAGAGAAAAGATAAACAGAAAATACTGATAATAAATGAAGGCAACGAAGCATATTTGTCTTTAATTCATGTCTGTATCCTCAGAACAACTTGTGTTGGAGAAAACTGTATGGATTATTGTGGGTGATCTGTGTGTGTATCTGGCACCTTCTCCCACAGTGGTGGCACACGGGCATCATAGATGCAGTTGAAGGTCTCCTCCAAGTTGGGTGACATCACCACCAAACCTTTGATCCCTCTCTCCAGCTCCACTAGGGATGAACTAACACACAAACACACACAGTTAAAGCAACAATTTAGTCATTTTTACCCCTTTTATTGCAGGTGTTTAGTGGTCACTGCTTCCTAGTCTGACCTATTAGAATAACTGTGCACTCTGCAGTGTATGCATTTTATGAACCAACAGAGTGCTATTATACTGCTGAGTTGTGGATGCCAGGCCACTTATATAAAGTTAAGTTTTCTTGACAGTTTGTTATGGTGCCGCCTGTTGCTGACTTGATGTCGGTACAGCATGTTTTCTTTAGATTTCTGCATTGCAATCAATTATACTTTTGTGACTGGTTTAATCACACCTGTCTGACCACCCCATTAGCCCAAGACACAATGCTGGTAAATCATCTTGAAACAGTTTGACCAAACCTCATAAATTATTCAACCTAATTATCTGTAAATTGACACATACAATTAATTTTATTTGGAAAACAGGTAAATGTCTTCCTAAGCCCATACAGACACGCTGAAATGGTATTTGTGCACCTTTATAGTGTTATGTACCTGCATGATCCAAATCACCCTAAAACTGACTTTCATTTGTTTACTTTTCATTTAATGTTTCCATTATCACTATTTAAAATGCTACACAGCCTTGCCGGTGCAAAATTAAAAACTGTAAACCCCCCTGTGTAACTGCTAAATATTTACTAATGATAAATTGCAAATCATGTTTTAATTAACATTTTTGGAAAAAAGAGCCCATTCAGATGTGGGCTCTTTCCTCTACCTCATGCTATTTCCCATGTAGTCATCCTGTTTACTTTATCTGTGTAAACCATCCATCAGTCATCTATCAATGTACAGCCCTCTTCTCTTGAGACTTGCACAATTGGTGAGGACCAGACAAAATGTCCTAAACATTTTTTTTTGGTCCTCACTATGTAGCAAGTAGAAGAACACATACACATACATATACACACACACAGAGTCCATACATGATGGTGTCCAGCAGAGAGTTATATCTCTGGATCTCTTGTAGCAGAACCACATTAAGTAGTGAAGAGATGTCCTGGAGGAGGGATGTGGTACCCTCGTAATCAATCAGTGCTGGGATCTTCCCACGAACATCTGCCAACCGCTCTAATACCTAAAAGCACAGATAAAATGTTTGTTTGTTTGCTTGTTTATTTATTTATATGGGACAATGCACATTAATTGAGACTGATATTAATAACACTGTCAGATTAAGTAACTTTCAAAACCAAAGTGCCTATAAGCTCAGAGACCTGTATATGAATGTAAAACATTCAACTTTGTATTTTGTCTTGGACTAACAGAAGAGGATGAAATCCTAATAGCAACAAAAATATTGAGTTGTGGAGGTCCCCCTTGAGATTTGTCCTAATCTGTTACAATGCTGTATCTGGATAAAAAACTACATTACATATTTCTAGATCTCTAGCTACTTACACTACTGACTGTCTGCCAGTGTTGTGTAACCACATGGATATCTCAGCATTGTTGGGAAAAGGCATTGCTTGTTCTGAGTATAGTCTGGTCAGCCTCAAACCTGAGATGCTTTAAATGCAACTGACACTGCCGACATGTCAAATACATTTCTGTCGCTAACTCTTCATGGTACATTATCAAGGTTGTTGCACACTTTTTAAAATCAAATTTCAGATTTTTAGAACCTAAAAAAAGACAATCTCCACAGAAGAACAAAGGCACATCAGCATAGGTGTAACTATTTTTCATTCAAATAAAATGATCAAATATCAAACATAGACATTATTATGTAGCCCATGTATGCATAATATATGGGGTAATGTATTATGCTATATATGCTTTAAGGCAAAAGCTTATTTAGATGACAATTACTGGTGTGACCATAAAGTCTATAGGTGTAACAACAATAGACAATAGAGAGAACAGCATGCAGAGCCTATGGTTTATATTACTTGCAGGTCAAAAGACAAGTGTAATCACAGATACATTTTTATTAACATCTGTGTTGTCCACATTCAGTTACCAACTTATTAGGTCCACCTAACAAAAATTAAATCAAATCAAATCAAATCAAATTTTATTTGTATAGCGCCAAATCACAACAAAAGCCTATTAATCAACCCTAGACCTAAACATAGTTATAACTCATTTGAAAGTCTCACCCTGAGTCTCTCACACCCAAACTGGAAAACTCAAAAGCCAGTTCTATTTGTTATTGTATACCGTCCACCTGCTCCTTATTCAGAGTTTTTAAGTGAATTCTCAGACTTTGTCTGATTTAGTGCTTAGTACAGATAAAATAATCATAGTAGGCGACTTTAATATTTATGTAGATGCTGACAATGACAGCCTCAACAATGCATTCTGTTCATTATTAGACTCAGTTGGCTTCTCTCAAACTGTAAATAAACCCACTCACTGTTTTAATCACACTCTTGATCTGGTTCTGACATATGGCATCAAAACTGAACACTTAATAGTTTTTCCCCAAAACCCTCTTCTGT